GTTCTAATTTATTGAGATGCACCTGTATATATATATATATATATATATATATTTGTTAGTATTATTATTAATTATTATTAATTAGATAATTATATTAAAGTATTAGATCTAATATTTACCTGATATTTTCATTTTAAAAAATTTAATCATTATTAATTAGATAATACTTGTATTAAAATTATTAGATCTAATATTTACCTGATGTTTTCATTTTGAAAAATGTCATTTTTCGACACACCCAGAAAAACCCAAATTAAAAAAAAGACTTCTAGTGAGAGAGATTCTCTATAGAAGACAAGACAGACAGCACACAGTTCACTGGACACATTCTTATAATAACTGTATGACATTATTAAAGTACAAGCGGTTCTGCATGTCTGTCGACGCTGGAATGAACTGAAGTGAAAGAATGAGGAAAGAAATGTTAATATCCCGTTTTAAAGAGAGTTGTGGGTCAGTGCTCATGCAGGTGGAGAGAGTGTTTGTATCGGGGCTGGAAACACTCGTAATCAAATCGTGTCTTTGTGAGCACTGCTCAACGCATGGATGACTTTTCAGGTCATTTCTGTGGAGAGAATGTATAGGACGCTCTGTACTTAAACACAAACAGTCTGATCTTCTGGTATCTACACAGACGAATATCACCATATCTTAGGATACCGTTTAGTGTAGCTTCGGAAGCATTTAATGCATTTCATCTCTTTAAAAGTGAAGTATGTTATTTAAAGTACTTTTAGTTGCTGAATGAAACCTCTAAATTAATGTCATTAAGCTGATTTCCGAAAAGTGTGCCACTTTCAAAGTGTTGTTTGGGAAACTAGTTTGAAAACAGTCATTCTGTTTCCGTTTGGTGCAGATAGTAATACGGAAATGACAAATTTCAGCTATGTACTCGCTCATTATATACATTTAGCAAATTTTGAACACAGAAAAAGTTACATAGTGCTGCTTTAAAGACAAAAAGAATTCAATGTTTCAGCATATTTACTTTCTTAAAACATGTTTCTGCTCCTATTATTAATGATTCATCCGTGCACATTATTCCAAAGAAGAAAATATTGGTCTTTGTAATCTTTCACCATAATGTAATTAGTTTCCTTGTTATTAATTCCTTTAATAACGATATTTTTCAACTCATTTTAGCTGATAGCCGATGCCGATGCCGATACCAATATATTTCCTTTTGTTTGGAAACACGACCAAGTCTCTCCTGAATTATAAGCAAATTATTTTTAATTTTGGTTAGTTTTTAACAAGAACTTATTTGTTAGAATTAAATAAACAATAATGAAGTTATTTTCTAATGACAGTACATTGAAGATTTGAAAATAACTATAAATAAAACTATATTCAATCGCTGCACAAACAGTCTGATCTTCTGGTATCTACACAGACGAATATTACCATATCTTAGGATACCGTTTGGTGTAGCTTCGGAAGCATTTAATGCATTTCATCTCTTTAAAAGTGAAGTATGTTATTTAAAGTACTTTTAGTTGCTGAATGAAACCTCTAAATTAATGTCATTAAGCTGATTTCCGAAAAGTGTGCCACTTTCAAAGTGTTGTTTGGGAAACTAGTTTGAAAACAGTCATTCTGTTTCCGTTTGGTGCAGATAGTAATACGGAAATGACAAATTTCAGCTTTAAAGCAGCACTATGTAACTTTTGGCGCTCTAGCGGTTAATAAACAGAACTGCACACATCCCGCGGAAGAACATTCCAACCGGAGCTACTTCTCTAAGTTTATGTCTATGGCGATTCACGCAGGTACGTGTTACTCCGCAGCGGTGAAGACCCGACCAGGCTACAATAGTCCAAATATAAGTACTTATTATAAGTGTACCGTAGTGATTCGGAATAAGACAAAAACGCGGTTTGGAAGATGAATTCATGATGTACTCGCTCATTATATACATTTAGCAAATTTTGAACACAGAAAAAGTTACATAGTGCTGCTTTAAAGACAAAAAGAATTCAATGTTTCAGCATATTTACTTTCTTAAAACATGTTTCTGCTCCTATTATTAATGATTCATCCGTGCACATTATTCCAAAGAAGAAAATATTGGTCTTTGTAATCTTTCACCATAATGTAATTAGCTTCCTTGTTATTAATTCCTTTAATAACGATATTTTTCAACTAATTTTGGCTGATAACCGATGCCGATGCCGATACCGATATATTTCCTTTTGTTTGGAAACACGACCAAGTCTCTCCTGAATTATAAGCAAATTATTTTTAATTTTGGTTAGTTTTTAACAAGAACTTATTTGTTAGAATTAAATAAACAATAATGAAGTTATTTTCTAATGACAGTACATTGAAGATTTGAAAATAACTATAAATAAAACTATATTCAATCGCTGCATTTTTTTATTCTCAGAAAGATGCAGCGGTAACCTTAACATTTTATTTTAAGATTTAACATTTGTAAAAGGTCTAAAGCAAAAGAGTTGTACAAATTCTGAAAATCTTTTTGCTTTTTGATTTAAACATTAAAACATACTCATGATTTTATGGCATCAATTACTGCTTTATTTAATCAGAAACACAGTCTAAATGTTATTTTGCTTTCATTTTATTAGAAGTAGGTCAACAGCGCCCCCTACGGAATTAAAACTCCTTACTGAGCGAGCATTAGGACCCGGGGGAGGCTGCCGCTGCTGCCAATGCACGTGCTACAAACGCGTCATTGTGTACATGCATTCTCAGTTTAAATGCAGTGATCCAAAACAGTGAATCTAATCATCATTCAGGCAAAACTTTGCTTCAAGAATGAGCAACACTGTTGACGTGATCTAATCGCTAGCACACCCTGAGCACATGTGAGTTAATGTATTCCTCTTATTGGCAAGACATATCGGCATAATTTTTCATACCTGGCCGATGCCGATATTTACATTTAAAGCCATTATCGGCCGATTCCGATATTGATCCGATAATATCATGCATCCCTAGCAGCATATGCTGTAAAAAGTGCTCTGGCAGGTGAATTTGAACTTCTTGCTTATGTACATGCCAGGGTTGAGCATTCTTCTAAACATCTTACAGATAAATATACAGAAGTGTAGTGTTGTCACGGTACCAAAATTTCAGTATTCGGTAGGTTGACCGGGTGATCGGTACCACCGGTACTTAAAAAAAAATGGTACCGTAACGTTTTCATTTTTTTAGTACTGACTTGGTACCGAAATACCGGGTCTTTTGACAACACTACAGAAGTGCAATGAGTAATTTAGTAAATGATGACAGAGTCGTCATTTCTGGGTGAACTGTTCCTTTAAGAGACACATGATCAAACAGATACTCACAGGTTCACTCTTAACAAACTGAACGGCTGTATTTGTCCTAATTCCTGAATCCTGAATTTGTCCTGAATTCATGTTCAGACATGAATACTCTTTCCCATGATGCCCTATACATCTGACAGCTTGTGCTGTTCAGTATGAGAGCGATGCGCTGCCTTTCACACTCATCCGACTGTGTCTTATTGAGACAGACGAGTTGTAATGGAGACCATCTGTGCCCATCCTGTTCAATCAAGAGCTCACCTCGCTCTCTCTGACTCTCTTTGTCCTTTTCTTATGATGGCACAGGTTACAGAGAGTGATTTGGATCAGTATGTATGGAAACATTAACAGCCTCTTCATTTACAGAAATGAATCCGCACTTGCTGTCACAAATTTATGTTCTGATGACTTTAATAGAAGGAAAACATTTGTTACACTCTAATTTGATGTATTTGGTATATGCTCAAAAACGTCAGCAATGCAGAGATCATGGGTTTGATTCCCCGTGAATGCATGTACTTGATAAAATTTATATTTTATTTATTCTGAGGTTTTTTTTCAGAGAAATTAATACTTTTATTGGACAAGTACGTATTAAATTGATCAAAAGTGACAGTAAAGACATTTATAATGTTTCAAAAGATTTCTATTTCAAATAAATGCTGTTCTACTTTCTATTCATCAGAGGAAAATATCATGGTTTCCACAAAAAATATGAAGCAGCGCAACTGTTTTCAACATTGATAATGATCAGAAATGTTTCTTGGGCAGCAAATCAGCATATTAGAATGATTTCTGAAGGATCATGTGACACTGAAGACTGGAGTAAAGATGCTGAAAATCCAGCTTTGCATCACAGGAATAAAATATATTTAAAAATATTTTCAAAATAGAAAACAGGTCTTTTAAATTGTAATAATATTTCACAATATTACTGTTTTTACTGTGTTTTTAATCAAATAAATGCAGCCTTGATGTGCATAAGAGAAAATAATACAAACTTTTGAACTGTACTCTATATACCAATTTAATATCAGAAATTACATATATATAAAAAAAAATAGAATTATTGGAAAATTGTTTATCTTATATCAGTGAAAAATTACTTTGTTAGCCAGTGTAGTTCAGTCATTAACAATGGCCATTATATCATCCAATAAATTGCTCATTTTAATTTCATGTTGATTCTCAGCCAGTTTTAGTGTCATTTCTCAACTGTTGTCTCTTTGCATGTGTACAGGTTATCCTGGAGTTTACCCTACAACTGCCCCGACCTACACAGCCAACCTTTACCAGACAGGTAGCCCGGGATACCCACCAGGTGTGTACACACACTCACACACATGCTTTCTGTCCACTGAATATGGAGTATTACACACTTACATTAGCAAAAAATACATCAGACCAAACATTTACACACTTTAATGATCCATTAACACCAATAAAACACACGCATTTGTATTCACAAACGCATACGGTCCCTAATGCATTATACTGTCTAGCCTCGTTTTGATGATGCTGGCCTGTAACTGAACAATTAAGCAGCGTATTACTGTTATATAGTGCTGCTTCCAGCTAGTGATGCAATGTTCGGACTAAATATATACAATAAATCTTCATAAGCATTACAAAATTTACTTTATTAGTATTCATGTAACAGTTTAACTTGAACAATACTGATGTATATGGCCACTAATTGTGTTTTATTTCTTTATGAGCTGCTCCCTGAAATGAATTCTATCAATAAATCTGTCTCGATCTGGAGAGATATATGTGAATAATGCATCCGCAAATGATATTTCAAAGTTTTTCAGCTGTAAATCTGCATGATTTGAGTCTCGAGAGAAAGCAGACGCAGTGAGGATGAGTGATGTGAAGAAGGTTGTCTTTAAGTGCAGATCATTTTCCATTAGTATTGTGTTAACAGGCTTGTTTGAGCTCAACTTTTAGCATGGTGTTTGATACTGTATTGTTAAAAGAGATAAACTGGACTTGTGCTGTAAGCAGACATTTTTGGATCAGGATGTAAGTGGTGCAGTAGTGGATTGGTTTGTGAGGTCTGTGGTGTAATCAGTGCCGCCCTGAACAGATGCTTGTATCATTTCTGTCTGTAATGTTATGACATGCCACCTGCCATTTTCAGATGCTTATACAGGCTGTCGTAGATCAGAGATCCAGTTGACATTTTGCTGTCAGAATCAGGTTTTTTTATTAATATTTTAGTTTGGTCTAGTTTCTGGCTTGCTTGGATATGATCTCAGATATCAGTAAATGGTACTTTTGGTTGACCAGCAATTTTTTTACACAATCTGATACACTTTCTCAACAAATTCTTTTGGTTTCCAGTTTCCACCCAATATCTCCATTAAAAGCATTTAGAGCTCAAAGATTTCTGCAAGATATTTTTTGTCATTAAAAATACCAATTAAAAAACATATTACAAAACATAGTCTGTCTGATAAGACTAGTGGTAATAAAATGCTAAATACCAAAAATAAAACACAGCTAAATGATAAAGAGCATTGTTGGGATAGCAAATTATCAGCCTTTAAAAGGGAATTATCACATATATATATTTGGTTCGATACGGCACAGTGGTGTCACGGTTCGGTTCGGGGGTAATTAGTTACGTCGCAATGTTGGAAATATTTCTGTTTTAAACCATGAAGGCAAGCCAATGGATATCACACACAAGCAACGTGCAAACTTTGCGCAAGAGTTACGCCGGTGAACGTCTTAATCTCAGTCAATTCACTATATGCAGAAAGTGAAAGTAAAAACGAAATGACGGCGCTTTCGGCATCTGACGCCGCATATTCTCTCAGAGACGACGAGAGACCAATCTACTTCAACATATGCTGATAACGGTATATAGCTAACTGTTTTCATTTATTCCCTTAATATTTCTAATATTACATAGTGAAAAATTTTTTAGAAGAAACATATTTCGTGTTAAGCAGGTTGTTTTTGAAAGTCGGTGCTTGAAATAAAAGCTTTTTATTTTATTGATTTTTTATTGATGACTGCAGTGTTAATATTTTAATTGTAGGCCTATAAATCATTGTATCGCTAATAGACCTGTATTAAAATACCTTTTTAAAAAACATTTTAATTGAGGAGTAAATATATAACCTAATCTTTTGTTGTTGGGCTGCCTTGTTGAGCGCAGTGGCACTGAGAACATCATATTTCTCACAACTTTAAGCTGTTTTATTTTCCAAATGTAATGGGATTAGTTCAACGAATCAAATCGTTCCGTTTGTAATGCGCACCGAACCGAAAGCCTCGTACCGAACGGTTCAATACGAATACGTGTATCGTTACACCCCTAATAGTTTGTGCCGACTACAACTACTCCACTAATTTTACATTATTTATATATTTCGTATCACGCTAAAATAAAGTTTAGCACAATTTTACATTAGGTGGAACATTTTCATTCATATTATTGATTCTAAAAGCTATCGTATTGATTTTAATTGTTTATTGGCCATTATTTTTTCCTCTAGTTGTATATTATTTAGTTATCTCATATGACAGTAAAATAAAAATAATAAAAGTGTCAGTAGTGATGAAGCTTAGCTATTTTTATGTATTGTAACTGATTTTAATAATTACAAAATGTTCTCATTGTTAAGTCATTGGTAATTTTTTGATAAATTTCTGCACTATTTTACATTAAGTAGAAAGTTTTCTAACATATTATTGATTTTAATAACTACTAACTATAATCAGTTATCAACCATGTTTTTCCATTTTTATTACCAGTATAGGCAAATCTGCTAGTGGTCGACCTCTACGTATCTATTAAATGTATGGATCTTTTTAGACTGTTCTTCCTATAGTGTCATAATGTAATCATTATCATACGTATCATGCATAAACGCGGGCTGAAGTGCTGCGGTAGTCATGTGTGAGGCATCTATGCGGCAGAGTCCCATCATGCCACTGTGATTCCAGCAGTCTCTTTGTCCCTCTGTTCTCTTGTGTTTGGGAACATTTCGTGATTTCACACCATCGCCCCCTTGTGGCTCTGACAGGATTGCTGCATTTTTACTATACTCTACTGTAACTGCTGTGTGTTCCCTGTGACTCTATAACACACAAACACATACCCTTTCCCCACACTGCATCTGAAGAACACTTGCCCTCATTGTTCTGTTTCCCCCGAGTGCACACACACACACACACACACACACACACACAGTTTTGATGCTGCCGGATTTGATCACATAATGACTGTGTAAACACACTTTACAACAAGTTCTGTTCCAAAACCTAGTGAGCTGCCCTGCTGCCTACTGCTTACATAGGCAACTATAAGGCAGCATCTTAAGTCAAAATGAAACTTTTTTTTAATCACTTTTTATAAAAAAATTTCCGGATGTGATTTTTCTGTATTTATATTGATTTCCATATTTTCAGACCTGAAGTATGACCCATATGAATTTCGTAAATACAAGAAAAAATTGCTTTATTATTATTTAAAATAATAATAATAATAATAGTGATTTTGTAATATTCAAATGTAATTTATTGCACAGTAGAATTGTTGCAATAGTAATCTATTTATTTTTGATTATTGATTTGTTAAATATAAAAAAATAATATAATAAAAAATATTATTTTGAATAATTATTATGCCTATTAACATTCTTATTTTATATTTATTTTGATTTTAGAATTATAACAGCAACTGACATGAAGTGCTCTGGAGACTCAATTTATAATTGTTTGCAATACAATTTGACATTAGTATATAAAATAGATATGCTTTGTAGATAGATTTATAGAATTTTAATACGATTTAAAGTGTTTTTATATAAACATATTTATAATTGCCATTTTTTTCCACTTTGTATGCCAGTTTGAATGATTTTCCTCACCGCAAAACATAATGCTATAGTAATTTGGTCAAAAATTCAAATCATCGATATACTAATACAGTTTTTATTAATATATATTTATTTATTTTCCATTTTAATTTTAACGTTTTCGTAATTTTGTGGTGTGGTTTTGTCATTTCTATTAGTTTTTTATTCATTTTATTTTAGTTTCAGTAATTTAATACATCAACTAAATGAACATGAACTAGCCGAAATGTAATAAGCTGAAGTATTTTAAATGTTTTGAATAAATTTGATGTCAGGTAACGTTTCAAGTAACATTATACTTTCGTTATCTCTGAAAAGCAACATATTTTCTTTTGTGTCAGATTGTGCTTATGATGTCTTTAAAGCGCTGTCTAGGTAGGCAGCTCACTAGGGTTTGTGACAGGTAATATCTCACATTGCATAATGTAGACATACAGTCTGAGATCTAAGGTTTCATTCTCACTGTAGACAGTCAGCAGGGCTTTTGGACTTGGATTGCAGCGTTAAATGAGTGTTGCGTGATTGAATTAGACAGATTGAATGGCTCAGCTAGACTAAAGAGAGTTGAATCCGGTGTGTTGCATCAGTGGTTGGTTAAACGTGTAGAAATGACTGACAGCTTGTCTTCGGTGTGTAGGGAATCTGTTGGTGTGTTGTGTAACTAATAACGCTTCAAGCAATGTATTCTTCTCATTTGTGCAGCTGATGTCGCATTCATGTGCATTTTTTACTACTTTGTTGTCAACAATCCTCCAATAAAAGCCAGATGGTGTGTGTAGAAAAAGAGAAAGTCTGTCAGTGTGTGTTTGCTTGTTCAATATGTGATATTTCTGACTTGATATGTGGCACACTTGTAGAATTACAGTGAACTCCCTCCTTACAACTCTAGTGTGCTTTACTGTTGCTCACCAGAAGGGGGCAACATGGAGGTTTTGGAAATCCAACCAGTATGGAAGCGCGTTTCCGCCACTGAATAAAAAATAAAAAAGGTAATTGCGACTTTTTATCTCACAATTCTGACTTTTTTCTCATAATTGCGTGATACAAACTCACAATTCTGACTTTTTTCTCAGAATTGCGTGATACAAACTCACAGTTCTGACTTTATTTCTCAGAATTGCGACTTTATATCTCGCAATTGCGAGTTTATATCACGCAATTCTGACTTTTTTCTCAGAATTGCGTGATATAAACTCGCAATTGTGAGTTAAAAAGTCATAATTGTGAGATATAAACTCGCAATTGCGAGACATAAAGTCGCAATTCTGAGAAATAAAGTCAGAACTGCGAGAAATAAACTCACAATTCGGACTATTTTCTCAGAATTGCGAGTTTATATCTCACAATTCTGACTTTTTTTCTCGCAATTGCGAGTTTATATCTAATAAAAAGTCATAATTGTGAGATATAAACTCGCAATTGCGAGAAAAGAAGTCAGAATTGCAAGTTTTTATCTCACAATTATGACTTTATATCTCGCAACTCTGTCAGGACCAATATCGTCAAAGATGATTGACAATTAGCATACAGTTTGGATTGGCGGTATGGTTCTGTTCTGGGCAAGAAGCAGCGATAACCCCCCCCAGGGTAAAGAGAACAGAACCAACATAAATGTATTGCAGATATCGTTAAAGTTCAATAATGTTATGTACACATTTTAGAATTAGTCTGATTCAAAGGAGAATCAGAAGGCTGAATCCTGACTGACAGAGGAGGAGCTGGGGATGGAGAAGGGTAATTAGATATTGAGCAATGCGAAAACTGCTGATAATACTGAGGGACCTTATATATGAACGCTTAGATAGGTGTCGTATTCCTATAGGTAGATGGGGATCAGCTGAGAGTCAGCTGATGCGAGCTTGACTAACGTGACCTGCCAGAACTGACGCTACGCTAGATATTTATTAATCTGAAAAAAGTCAGAATTGTGAGATAAAAAGTCCCAATTACCTTTTTTTTTTTTTTTTTTATTCAGTGGCGGAAACGGGCTTCGATAAACCAGAGACATGGACGAGTGTAAAATAATTTTTTTTAGACATAATATGTGTTCATTCGATTGTTGTTTAGCACATGCCTGCTTGACCTGACACCCTCTCTCTGTCTCGTTCTGTGTTTCAGGATATACTGCAGGAACGCCTTATAAAGTGCCCCCTACTCAGACCAATGGAGCCCCTCCGCCCTATTCCCCGTCTCCTAACCCCTACCAGACGGCCATGTACCCCATTAGAAGTGCCTATCCCCAGCAGAACCTCTATGCTCAGGTAAGTGACCCGGAACAAACTGGAATTACACCACAGTCCATGATTAGCTTAATGTTTTGTTGTGTTTTGACTAGGAGAGAAATCAAAGTTGACTCTTCTAATCTTATTCTGCATTATTCATCAGGAAAAAGTGTTGTTTTGACATGTTCTTTCAGAATCTATTAACTTGCTTGACCTGAAATGACGTATCAAGGTCAAACCATAGCTATGCAAGCATTGTAAAATCTTGCTAATTGTCAATGCATTTGTGCAATAAAGATGACAGCAGTAATATCAAACAATGATCCAAATAACACTGAAATCAATACCCAGTTAATAAAATAATCAATTTTTTCATTATAGAATATTGTTTTACCCAAATAATTCACATCAAAGAAGTAAAATGGACTGTTTGAGTATCAAAAAGTATCGTATTGTATCATATTGTTATTTTAAATACTTTTGAGTGTAATACATATGCTAGTCATTTAGTACAGTGTTATTTTATGCATTATATTGTTATATTGTATGCATTAATATATTGAATTAGTTTTATTTTCGTATTTTCAAGTTTAATTTTTAATTTGTATTTTTTTCTGCTTTTGTATTTTTTTATATTTCTGTAGTAGTTTTTATTTTTGTTTTAAATATGTATATTTATTTTTTATGTGCTACAACTCAAACAGTTAAGTTTATTTCAACTTATTTCTAATTTTCATTTAGTTGAGGTTTTTCATCTAATATTTATATTTTATTTCAGCCTTTTTTGATTTACCAAAAATGTTTTGTAATAGTTTGCTATGGTACTGCATCAACACTGATGCAGTAATCTGACTGTAGTAAATGCTAAAGTAATGTGGTTTAGGATCTAAAACCATCACTAGATTCATTTTGGTTGCTTGATGTTTTGTAATCATCACCTTAGACCCTTTATTTGCCACACAACCAGGACTATTGGGATTTGTTCCCATGACACCCAGCATCACAACACAGTGAATCATGCCTTACAGGTTTTGAACCTTCACCCTTTCAGCTCCCCGTCACTGATCTTTTGTAATTTGAGTTGGTCTTGTTCTCAGGGTGCTTATTACACGCAGCCAGTGTACGCTGCCCAGCCTCATGTAATCCACCACACCACCGTGGTCCAGCCCAACAGCATCCCCTCCGCCATCTACCCCGCTGCTGTACCTGCACCCCGCTCCAACAGCATGGCCATGGGCATGGTGGCCGGAACAACGATGGCCATGTCTGCCGGTGAGACGCTCAAAAATTAGAATATTGTTGAAGCTAAGAAATTATATTTAAAAATTCTAAATTAATGTATACTTCAATGTGTATTAAAAATGCAACTACAAATATATGCAGACTCTTCTACTTCAGCAATAGGTATATTAGGTATATATGTGTGTGTGTGTGTGTGTGTGTGTGTGTGTGTGTGGGTCAAAGACGTTAAGATGTCCGCATCAAAAGAAATTTACAAAAGTGATTATATGTCCATAGAAAGCACATTAAATGTAAGTAAAGTGTCTACTTTTTAAGTTTCAAATAAGTTTTTGGAGAATAAAATGTTAAAATTTGGTTATGTAATAACGTTACATTGTCATTCAGTGTAACACAATATGTATGTAAAAATTCAAACAACATGCTTATTCTGACTATTATTAAAATATATAAAAGAATAAGGGAGCATATTCAATTTTATTGTGTTTTAAATGATTAAAAATTCTAACTGACAAATGGGCAAAACATTTAAAAATTTAAAATTTACAACTAATTAGTATTTGGGGTGAAAGTAATTAGTCTTTTAATATGTCATAAATAGATTTTTGTTGTAAATATGCCTGACAGGAATGTTACACTGAATGACATTTTAGTGGGTGTCTTCTGTAAATCAGGAAAAAATGTATGATATTTATTTTTTTGCTCGTAAAAACAAAATTGAAATTAAATTAAACAGAAAACTTTTTTTTTTTTAATTTTTAGTTTAAAGCAGTATTACACTTTTTGTTTTTATGCTTAAACCCTTTTTCGTCTTTGACCCATGTATATATAAAAACTTTTAAAATAAAACTTTTTATAATTCAAATATATAATAAAATAGTTTTTATATTAAAAATACACGAGTTTTACAATTTATATAATCAATGTTTTTAATAATTTTTTAGTTTATTAACTAGATTTATTTTTTCTGTTACTGCCATCTCTTTAAAACTCTTTTAGTTCAGCATTAAGGTGTTTTTTTTATTATTAAATACAAATATATGTCTATATTTGAGTATATATTATTTTTATTATATATTTCTAAATCATTTTTGGGAATTTTATAATAAAAAACAGTAAATTAATACAACATTTAAATAATAAATGTTTTTAATGTATTAATTAGATGTATTAAAAGAAATAAATCACAATAAAACACTATATATACGTATAATTGTGTGTGCGCAAATACATATATTTGATTAAATTTTTGGTTAAATATAAAAACATATTTAAAATGTAAAAAATGAATCCTTAAAATTTTTCATCAGAATTTATTATATATTAAACAATTATAAAATTGTATTTCTAATAAAATGTATATGTTATATAAAAAATTTTTTTATATAATGTATAAAAGCTATTAAAAAATTTAAAATATATTAATATAATAAAAGTTTTGAATTTATTAATTAGATTTATTTAAAAAATGACATCTACTGGCATCTATAGACTCTCTTAGTTCAGCAGTAAGGAAGCACAGGATTGTTCTTATATTGGTTCCAGGACTAATAGTGGACATTTTGATTTAAAAATCTCTCCCAACAGGAACGCTGCTGACCACCCCTCAGCACACTCAGCTCGGAGCACACCCCGTCACCGTGCCAACATACCGACCCCAAGGAACACCTGGGGACTTCTTCTCGTTTTCTCTCTCCCTCCTTCACAGATCTGGAGTCAAACATTGTATGCAACTACTCAAATCTTACATCGGCGCTCTGTGCTCAACAGTGAGGCGCCACGTCTGTTTGCAAGAACAAAAAGAGAAAAAAAGTGCAAGGGCCACTTTATGCATTCTTACGTGTTTTTGTAAAAGCTGCTTTTTATCTTTTTATTTTTATTTTAATTCTTCATTGTTCCATAGTTATTCTATAAGAACTCCAGAATGATTTCGACCAATCACGACCCGTCTTTGTGTTCAGTATAAACGCTGGTGTGTAGGAATATCAGCACCACACGGATCATAATCATCCACTTACGCTGCCAAATTTTATAACCTTTAGATATTAGCACAGGGTTGGTTTTCTTTTATTTATTTACAGCAGAGTTTCATTTCAATCTTCCCAAAGCGCTTGGGAATCGTTCAAAGAAATTTCATTTCTCCCTCATTTCGTTCGGTCATCGATAACAAGGGTGTCTTCCAGCTTGTAGCTGTTCATGTAGATTTGTAAGGAATATATCATTAGTAGGGCAGTGCAAACGTGGTTTAACCTTCATTAGGATATCGAGTACATACAGTAATCTTAGTTATTCACTAAATAGAGAACGTTTGAGTGAGCCGGTTACTTTATTAGCTTATGTGTCAGGATAGCGTAAGCTTCGAAACTATAACGTGTATATGCGATTTACAAAAATGTGCGCGCAGGGGTGCTCTCACGGCATGCGCTCACGGTGAATATTGAGGGGAAAAAATCTAGCAGTGGCACTTAGCTGGAGCCTCTGGGTGCGATGTCGTCCCGCGGGCATCGAAACGTGTGCCAACTTTGAGGCCAGACAGAACAGACGCTACTCTGACGGAACGATTAGGATCCGATTCAAAGGGACTTTGCGGCATCGTAGATAGCACTAAAAGCAACAAAAAAAACACACAAGGGAGGGATGGCGTTCCAGCATTCATTTCCAATCAGCTCCGGCTCTAGAGTGGGTCTGAACCCCTGGTCCTCTGTGAATAGTTGCACAGATTTTAGGCGTAGAAATGGAGTTGTTCAATGCAATAATACGAACGGCCTGCTTGAATGGCGTTTAATTGTAATTTACAGCATTTGTAGTGAGATAAAGAGAGAATTTTGATTTCCTGTCCCGAGGCCTCGCCTGTATCCATGAATAGTGTACTCAGACGTGACATATCAAGTATTCTATGAAATGTTGTTATCATACCCAAGCATTGCACATTGACAAATAGACGTAACTTAATAACCAATTATACGGTACACTCTCATATTTAATGATGTAATTAAGAAAATCAAGCATTTACTCTGCAAACCATTAGTCTTGGTCATGTCTCTGGAAGTAATATTATTGTCAGTACAGAACAGTATCACTCTTTTCGTTGTTTTGTTGGCTAAGCGACCACCATTGCGATATATAGTACACTCAAAAGTGGGAAGAAGCGATTCTCTGGTCTTATGTGAAAGTCATAACGTCTAGTAATGCATGTGTCATGCGGGTGAATGCAGTAAAGTGTAATCAGATGGAAACTATGCCCTTGCGAAGCATGGATGCATCATGTTGAATTGCAGCTTATGGATTGCTTTTAATAATACATTTACATTACAGCACATTCCCTTAGTAAAGAGTAAAGAGCGCAGTTACTCATGAATCTCATGGAATATATATATATAATCCCATAAATTAAGTGAAGCCTGTTTTTTGTTTTGTTTTTTTGCTTTATTTTCTGAATAATTAAGCAAATTTTTCCACAAATTTTCATTACTGTAAAACATCCTGTAGTTTTTTTTTAATGGTTATTTGTATTACTCTAAATAGTGATTCTTTTTAGATTCTTTTTTTACAATATTTTTCATTTACATCAACAAAGGCAGTGCAACAAATATTACCATGATTCATGGATAATTTGTCTAAATTTCAAGAGGAAATTGTCATGAAAATAATAATAAAATATAATATAATAATTTAAAAATCTAAAATAGGCTTCATTTTCTTTATGCAAAAAAAAAATAATTATATATATATATATTAGTGCTGTCAAACGATTAATCGTGATTAATCGCATCCGAAATAAAAGTTTTTGTTTACATAATATATGTGTGTGTACTGTGTATATTTATTATGTATATATAAATACACACATGCATGTATATATTTAAGAAAAATATGTTATTTCTATTTTAAATATTTATATATAACATAAATAATATGAATATAAATATATACATGTAAATATTTTCGAAATATATACTGTATGTGTGTGTATTTATATACATAATAAATGTACACAGTACACACACATATATTATGTAAACAAAAACGTTTATTTTGGATGTGATTAATCGCGATTAATTGTTTGACAGCACTAATATATATATATATATATAGACATGTTCTTGACAGGTTCCATGAGATTCATCTGAAAATGACTGTAACTTCATTGCAGTATAATCATTTTCTTATTGTAAGGGCAAATCTGTTTGGCAAAAGCGAGTCAAAAGCTTTGGTATATGTAATATTTGTCTAACGATGGAATTTTATTCACATGATGTCATCAATAAGTAATGCAAATCAGTCAAACCAGCTCATTTATTGATTCTTGAATGAAAATCTCGTAATTCACAGCATGTTCACATACTCTGGTCTCTGTTTTGATGACATATGATGCCATTTTCCTGCGCTCTCCGCCCTACTCTTTCCTTTTCTGATCTTTATACAGTCTTATACTTATACATATCAAGCAGTGAACTATATTTTCTGTGTCTTTGCATAAGTTTGCATCACGAGACTTGACTGATGCATTTAATCACTGTAGTCGACATATGACACTCTGAACTCTAGGGCTAGAGTGACCTTTTACACTGCAAGATGATTCAAGGACGTTACCATCCACTCTGACATGTAATTTAGGCGCTTTACGTAAGTGTTATTTAAAGTTTTAATTAATGCTTGATGTTCATTTTTCTTAAATAGGAGATCTTTATGGTTGATCTGGAGTGGAGTGATACAGTCCATGTGGTTGAGAGGCATTTCAGAGCACAAGTCTTCAAAGGGTTTCCTCTTCCTCTACATGCATTTCCCGTCTGTCTGTCTGTCTGTCTTTCTCTTCTTCTTTTCTTTTCTTTTCAAGGAGGACAGAGTTCAGCGATTCTGCAGCTACGGTTAAAATAATGGCTGAGCTTTTTGTGAAAATTATATGTTGAAGTTACAGGCATGTAGGACGTTTTAATGCAGGGTCATCATGAATTTAAAGGGACAGATCATCCAAAAATGAAAAAAAAAAGTCAAAATGATAACAGAACTGTAAGTTTGGGATGAATTATTCCTTTAAACCTGAACAGTTGTATCAATACTCAGATATTTTCCTGCTCGCCACACATTATTCCAGCGGCGAGGGTTTTTGATGTGTTTCTCCCATTTTAAAATAAACTGATCCATTTTCCGTGTGAAATCAGGTGGTCTTTTCTGGGTGTTTTTTCGCCCGGTCGTGGTGTGGAAGAGGCTTCGGTTTCCAGTTTTTTCTGTTTGGATCATTTTGATGTTGATATTGCAAACCCATGCACTGTTCTCTTCTTTGGTTTCAGGGCATCGATCAAAGGATTGTTTACTAGCACCCGTGATGCATGCAACGGGTTATTAGCTCTAGTGAAGTCAGTGTCACGTCACCAGTATGTAAAGGTATTTCTAAAGTAATTGTGGCACTGCTTTCACGCTCTTGCTGAAAACCTGTGATATGTACCATAGGCTTTGACGCAAACAAACGAGGGCTTGCTATTTCACGCTACTGTTTAGGAAAACAGCTATTTGTGTTTGACCCGTATGGAGAATAAGACTTCGTTGTTTGCATTCTAAATGTAAAGCAAAAAGGAGAAAGTCTTCCAGAATTTTTCTCCCTTCAGTGAGTGTTCAAGAGCCCTTGCCCCATAGTATGTATGACGCACTACTGCGTGGTTCTGGCAGCATGGAGGTCTCGTTCCTGCGAGGTTCTGGCAGGTCCGAGCGTGTTTTCGCCAGTGCGGTCCAGACCGTGCCGTTCGACCGTTTGAGCAAGGAGACCCACATCAGGCTTGTGAAATGAAGTGTAAAACTGTTTTTATTATTTGGGGTTTTTTATTGTTTTGTTTTGTTTTTGAAGATCAGTTAGTGATCTCTGTGACATAATTAAGCCAAGTTTGTAATTGTATAATATTTACTGTAAGATGTAGAACATTCAATAACTATTAAAATTTTTCCCAAAAAAAAAAAAAAAGAGTTTTTTGTTTTTTTTTCCCCTGCCACACGCTCAGTCATATAATGCTGATGAAGGATTCAAGGGTTCTTTTTTTGTGTCTTGACAATTAAATTTAATGTCAAATGGTTGAATTATTATTAAAAGAAAGATTTACCCATAAATAACCGTTAAACCCTAAATAATAGGAAAAGGCTTCAGTTTACTGCAAGGTATGTATAAGGGTCTAAAAAAACTATGTATGACATATAGAATAGCATAGCAATATTACATATTATAGTAATAAAACATAATATTTTAATACTTCTGATATATTTGTCTGTGTGTGTGTGTGTGTGTATGTATATATATATATATATATTATTCAGCTGAAATATAATTGTTCTGCGGAAATAGAAACCTTTTGTAATATAAAAGTCTTTACTGACACTTTTGATCAATTTAATGCATTCTTCCTCAATAAAAGCATTAATTTCTATTAAAAAAATACAGATCTTACTGACCCCAAACTTTTGAACGGGAGCATATAATCTGAATATAACGATATATCTAAAATATAATTCTATTCTTTATAATGAAAGCTTTCTATTTCAGATAAATGCTGTTCTTTTGAACTTACTATCCATCAAAGAATCCTGAAAAGACCAGCAAACCAGTTTTGAATAACTTGTAAAATGATTTAGATGAAACCATTAGTCTGAAAAGCTGAACAGCTGCTGTCAACGAAAATAACTTGAATAATTCTTAATGGGATAGTTCTTGGGATAAAACCAAAATAACAACTTTATTCAACAATTCTCCTCCAAATCACCATTATCGAGAGTACACATGGACTGTTTTACTGATGTCCTTGCTACGTTTCTGGGTCTGGGAACATTTGCGTTGCTGTCTGGTCAGAGAGCTCTCAGATTTCATCAAAAATATCTTAATTTGTGTTCCGAAAATGAACAAAGGTCTTACAGGTTTGGGATGACATCAGGCTGAGTAATTAATGGCATGGTTTTTCATTTTTGGGTGAACTATCCCTTTAAATCTTTAATCATTTCACTTTACTTCACTCATATTTTAGAAGCAGACACCAGACATTGTTTTGCAACAAACCCCTGAAATGTGAATTAATCTCTTCAAGCTGTTCAAGTGTCAGCAGGTCGTTTTTTTCTTCTGCATTTGGAAACGGTGGATATACTCGTTCCAGCACGTATGGAGTCACGTTTCCTACATTCCCAAAGACTTTCAGTGGCAGCGGAGACCAGGATCAGATGTAACATCTACAGTTTTGTACAGCTCACAGACTAATGTACATGCAACCTTTTCATAAGAAACATTTACACATGCTGAAGCCATTCATTGTTTACACTGAGAAAGACAAGATTATAATATTGAATTTAATTCAGTCAGTTTGGGGAAATGGTTTTGCTTCGATATTTCTTAGTGTTTAATTGTTTACCTTTATTCAGTTGTAATTCTTAACTGTCACGAACATTATGTGTTAAAAAGCAACAGATATATGAAAATATATTAAAGAGCTGATGTGTCAATCTGTCTGCAAACCACTTTAATGCTTAAGTGCATATTTAAAAAGAAAAAGAATTCTAGTGAAGACGTTTTGATGAGGCAGAAAGATAACTTTATTAAGAATATAGTGAATCACCAATATAACTTGTTTGTGTTCAAACAAATATAGCATGTTATAATTGCCCTCTTACGAAAGCTCTGTTTATTTTCCCCTGTAGCTGTTTTCCAGTAAAATTTTAGAGGACTATTATTATTATTGAATCTGTCCCAAAAACGCCATTAGAGGTCATTTCTGGGTAAGTTTAGAAAGGAGGTAATGGTCATTTGTTTTGCGTGTGTCCATTTCCTGCCCTAATCGCCCCAGTCATCCCAGCTGCATGCGCCCCACAATCCAATTTACCGAATTAATTAGCATTAGTACATGTGTGCAGAATCATACAGGCATTTTCTGTCGTCAGCTGGGGATCATGAACACAGACCCAACACCGGACATCAGATAGAGATGTTTCAACCATTTTCATATGCTTCCTTTGGAGGTCTCAAACCACACAGATTGAGGTTTTGGAGGCATTTCAAGAGCCCCGGGGCCCATAATCCAGCCCTGCCCTGGACGGAAATGTCTGTTAGATCTTAATCTGCATCCCACTCAACATGGCTGGAACTCGAGCCGTTAATGCACATGCTCCGACAAGTTCAGTGTAGGCGATGTGATGCGTTTCCAAAAAAAAAATTTTTGAATTCCACAAAGAACTTCAGTGATCAGATCCTAAAAGAACCTTTTTGTGTGTGTGTGTGTAAAGAACGTTCTGTTAATCTAAAGAACCTTTTTCCACTACAAAGTATTGTTTGTGGAATGGAAAGATTCCATCGATTCCAAGATTCTAGATTTTAAAAGTTCTTCAAGGAACCATAGATGGCAAGTATTTTAAGAGTGTGTAGTCGAAAAAGGTTCTTTAGATTGTTAAATTGTTCTTCAGACTAAGAAAATGTTTTGTTTTTCACATAACTGTTCACTGAAAGGTTCTTTGGAGAACCAAAAAGGTTTTTTGGCATAGCTGCGAAAACACCTCTATTTTAAGAGTATAACATACAGTGCCTTGCGAAAGTATTCATTTTACATTTTGTTATGTTGCTGCCTTATGATAAACTTCTTTAAATTACTTTTTTTCCACAACAATCTACACTCCATACACCATACTGACATATCAGCTGTTAGACCTTTTAGTAAGACGTGTGCCTTTCCAAATCATACCCATTCAATTGAATTTGCCACAGGTTAACTTCACTTGAAGTGTAGTAATATCTACAAGCAATATGAATGCTCCTGAGCTAAATTTCAACTGTCCCAGATAATGGGTATGAATACTTATGCAATGGAATCATTTTAGATGTTTATTTTTAATAAATTTGCTAAGATGTTAAAACCCTGTTTTTTTGCTTGACAATTATGGTGTATGGAGTGTAGATTGTTGTGGGAAAAAAACTAATTTAAAGCAGTTTAACATAAGGCAGCAACAAAACAAAATGTGAAAAAAATGAAGGGGTATGAATACATTCGCAAGGCACTGTACTAGTGTACTACAGTATCAGCTATTATATTTCTGAATCATGCATATTAAATGCATATCACAGATCTACAACCTGCATCAAAGCCTCTCACTGAAGCCCCTCAGGCTGATGCTGTACCCAACACGGGTGTTTTTCTGTCTCAGCTCGTGTAAAATGGTAAATAGAATAAAGCATATTTCATGTCTGATGCTGAAAACCAAGGACACATGGGACATTCTACCAGAAACGTACATTTCCACTTGTAAAAATCTTGGGTGAAAAAAATATCTTATTCTTAAATCTGAACGTTGAGTCATATGGAGGACATGTTAATCTATATGAAACACATATCATGCCATCTCAGCATGTTTTTATGATTGAAATAAATACATTTTTATACGCATTTCACCCCTAAAATGTCAGGCCCTGTCACAGACAAATTTGTATATGTTAGAATGGTTTCCTAATTAATTTCTTTGATACAAATAGCATTTTCTTATTGGTCACATGTCCCTGATTGTATCTAACATGGTTTTGTCATTTCTATAAGAAATATAAGCAACTTTTCGGTCAACTGTAGTACACAAAATCACAGAATACCCCGCCAGGCACTCATATAGTTGTAAAAGAAAAACTGCCTTTACATAGGAGATTTTTTCAAAAACATAGTAGTGGATATATACTCCAACCTTCATCTACACAGTTTAGATTGAGATTAATTCATCAATATTTCCTCAAATATTACATTTTTATAACATAATTTCCTGTGTGACAGGACTGACTTTATGGATTAAATAGCAGTATATATATAGGAAATAAAAGCACAATATTTTGTTATCACTGTGGTTTAGTTTTGTTAGCAACTTCAAAGCAGATAGTTTTATGAATAAGTTGTAAAACCAGTATCATTGCATTTTGTTGAACTTGTTAACTTGAATCTGCATGTATACAAAACCTCTTCCAGTTTAACTGAGCATTACTGGATCCATTAGGCAAAAATAAATTTGACACTAAATGACCCAGCTTCTGTTTAATATTCGCTCTTATTCGCTGGAAATGAAAGCAAAGCATTTTCATAAACCCTAGACCTCTTTTGGTCTTACTTATGCCAAGGTTTAAGAGGTCTGTCTGAAGTTGCCAAGTGTTTATTTTCATACTTTTGGAGCAACATAATGTGTGTGAAAAGAAATTATCAGTTTGTTTTGATTCCAAAAATTATGTAAATATCAAGGTGGACTATTTAACCTACTTTTGTTATGCCTGCTTAACTTGTTCTTCGCCATTACAAATGAGCAAAAACATGAAGAGTTTGCATGGATCACATAAAATCAGTTTCCATGCCTTTTAAGTCTTTGGTTAAACCTTTTTTTCTTGTTTTTTTTTTTGGTGTAAACAGCAGACAACTGCCTGCAGCCAAAATCATGTACAAAAGAAAAATGAGTTGATTGACAGTTGTTTGTTGATATCAACGGAAGATTATGCTCAGATATTCGAACACAGTGGTGTAGGAGTTTTAACTGCGGGGCAATTTGAAATAGTATGGCATTTCTATGTTTGTCCACCAACTTTCTGTGAGATAATAAGTACACAATGTGCATTAATGTGCCAAACTATAGACTATGTATACAATGAATACATTTATCTACAGAAATCTACACATACAATTTCCAAAGCAAAAACACTGAGAAAAAAAAAACACTTATGAAAGTCTTTCAGCCAATCAGACGTAACGTTACGTGATTAATATTCATGAGACGGGGGTGGGTGACTGTAAACAGGGTGTCGATGACTCGCAGGTGCAGAAAGAAGAAGAGAGCAATGCAGAGTAGTTCGCTACTTCTGTTTTCTTCGTCTCTCTGAGGAGATTCACTTTTACTTCGCAGACAAGAGTTGTTTACTGGTGTTCAACGGGGAAATAACGAAAGAGTGGATGCAAAGGTAAGTTTAGGAAGCAATTAAAACACTTTGTTTACGATATTAAAATCAAGTGGCATGAAATGATTATTTGCATTAGTTGTTTATTATGGGCACGCATAGTGATGTTTAGCTACTTATGCATGTAGATACTAATAAATAATACTAATTCCTAATCCAGGTTTTGTTCTTATAGAAATATAGTATGTTCTGTTGCCTGTCGTGGTTTTACTAAATTAATAATAGCCTACAAAACTGCTCTAGTGCTACACATAAATATATAACATTAAAGAAACCGATATTAATTGCAATAACCCATAACTAATTATGACTAACACCTGTTACCTAATTCAGATTTTGATGTTAAAATAAAAAATTAATATCAAAAACGAATTCAAAAACATGGTCTTGATCATTTTGTAGAATATTGATTTTATAAGACAACGCCTTTTATGTTCACATTTCAACCATGTGCTGTGAAATCATTAATTAATTTATTGATTTAGTAAATATTTGATTTATTGATTGATATGCAGTTTCAGCTCCACACCATCTGTCACGTTCATTTATTTTGTACAGTGATGTTAGTACAGTAATGCAGTGTTGTAAATCACGTCTCTGTGTCTGAAAAGTGTCATTCTGTCCTGATTGATATTAACACCTGTATAAACAGCTCTGTGGAAGTATGATTCCACAGAATTGCTGGATTCCACTGTAAGTCATTGTTTGCAGTGCAGATTCCAGTAGGTTAGTGATGCTCTAGTCGTGAATAGCTTCTGTGCTCTGTTTCTTTTATGTGCATGTAGATGTGTAATTAGGGGAAATAACATCATAGTGTGGGAAGAAATGTGTGTAGTAAAGAAAATATTCAAGAGGTTGTTAATCCAGGCCAGAATCTACAATAGCCTTCTTTTTTTATTTTTTGGCCTTCTTAAATTCATCACAATGACAGCCAGTGGCGCCAAGGGGGCGGTTTGTACCCTCAACAGAGAGAAAACACAAGCCAAACGCTAGGAAAAGAGAACAATGTCCCACTCAGAAACATGAGTTTCCTTTGCCAAAATGGCAAATTTCCAACTGTTATTGGTTTGTTGTAATATGTGTAATTGTGCTGTAGAGAAATGTAACCACTTGATGTTGTTTGGAAGCAAACCCATGCTCTACTGTGCTATTTTTGCACCTGACTAGTATGATAAATGCTTGCAAGGTGAATGACCCTCTTACCAATATCTGCTTCCATTTCCATGCCCACATACTGACACTGTCACTCGTTTATATTGTATAACCAGGGTTCATTTGCCTTCATTGGGTGCTGTCACAATGCAAGTATTCAAAATCAAAATGTCAAATATTGCTTTAAGACCTGACAGGATTTTTTCCCATTTTTCAATTGCAACGGTGTTTTGTTTGCTAAGCATATAAAGAATGCCTTGTGACAAATTTTTCCAGAAAAAGGTGGGGAAGGTGTTTGGAAAATGGCAAATGCCATGAACGTGAACCCATAATGTTCTCTTTCTATAATTCTATCACTTTAATCTGTCTGAAATTTGCGTAAGAGCTCGTCATGTGGAGTAACTGCTAAATTAAGACTCTTGCGGTTTCAGGTTGCTGCTCTCTCAAACGTTCTTTCACCACCCATGCAGATATTTGCGTAAGTGTCACAAGAAATAAATGTAGTCACACTAAAACTAATCTTCATGTACAACACTCTTGACTCAAACAAGTCCTGATTGGGGTTTCTTGAGTTCTAGCCAGCAGACAGCTGACAGATATCACTGTTTGCTTAAATCAACAGCCATAACAACCACTCCCTCTCCGTTCCACTCCATGAAGCTCCACCGTCTCAGTCAACATTGTTACATTAATGCAGTCAAGATGCAGGTCACATTCTACCATAAATATGACAAACTCCAGCTGTGTTCTTGGACTGTCTATTTTTGACCATGAGTCTATGACTTCATGCAAGAACTCAAATAACCCTGGGGCAGAATAGAAGAATGAGGCTTTTCCAGTGTCTAATGAAAATGCAACCATCAATGTTGGGTTGGAGATTTGTGAGATGGTCAATGTTGGGTTGGAGATATCTACAATCTTTAAATCTACAGTTTTTGTCTGGTAGACAATAAAATTATACAGACTCGGTGATAGGCTAAGCAACTACCTAGCAACTGCATCCCAGCATCCTAGCCACCACTGACAACACCATAGCAATTGCATAGCAACTCTCTGACAATGCCCACGACACTCTGGCAACTGCATAGCGACACCTTAGCAACCACTTAGAACAATCTGGCAGCAGCATAAAAACCACCTAGCAACCACCTAGAACACTCTGGCAGCGGCATAGCAACGCCCTGGCAACCACCCACAACACTGTAGAAACTGCATAGCAACACTCTAGCACCAATTACAATGCCACAGTAACACCACTGCAACCACCGAGAACACTGTGGCAACTGCAAAGCAACACCCTGGCAACCATCCACAACACTCACAATGCCAGAATAACACCATAACAACCACAACTGCATAGCAATGCACTGGCAACCACCCACAACACTCTAGAAATGGCATATCAACACTATGGCAACACCTTCAACATCATGGCAACAGCTTAGCCACAACCTAGCAACCACCTAGAACACTCTTGCAACTGCACAGCGGCACCCTAGCAACCACCTACAATGCCCTAGAAATGGCATATCAACACTATGGCAACACCTTCAACATCATGGCAACAGCTTAGCCACAACCTAGCAACCACCTAGAACACTCTTGCAACTGCACAGCGGCACCCTAGCAACCACCTACAATGCCCTAGAAATGGCATATCAACACTATGGCAACACCTTCAACATCATGGCAACAGCTTAGCCACACCCTAACAACCGCATAGAACACTCTGGCAACACCCAGAATATCCCAGCAACTGCATAGCAGCACCCTAGCAACCACCTACAACCACATTTTCCAAATAAGGAGGTCGGCTTGTCCTTGTGGTAATACTTGGAGAAATCAATTCCATCAAATTCAATGAATCAAGATTTAATAAAAAATATAATATACTATAATAGAAATATAAATTATATATAATACAAATATTAGATATAATATAAATATAAAATAATATAAAACATAAATATATAAATAAAAACATAAATATAAATTGAACATAAACATGTCAGAAAACCAAACTGGCATTCCTCTCTTCCAAAACGTGTTTTAGCTCAGTCCCACCTGAGGCTGGTCAGTTGTGTGTTCCTAAACCTGTCTAGACAAATCCAGCCTTCTGCTTTCACTCCAGCCGTCTCTGAGATAAATAATGAAGAGCTGATGACCTGGGCTGGGCTAGACTAATGATAAGGAATCAGCAGAATCAGACACTTCAGCAACAGTTACTGAAGAATGAAGACTGTGTGTGCAATCAGACTACTGCCAAAACCACTAGATTAACAGCATCTGCTAAATACTCACAGGTGTTAGTACTGGGCAGACACACACACATACACGGGCTCAGACAAAGAGATGTTCTTGTGAAACGGAATGTCTCATGTCTGTTGTTGCACAACACTTCTTGATAATGATGTCAGATGCTGTGATGAAAGACAAGAACTTTAGGGGGAAAAGTCTTTAGTTCGTCTACTGCAGTGAAGCTTTCACTAATTATAGTGTAGATAAGCTCATAAAGATGAAGTATTATGCAATAAACACACATTTACTGATCGCATTATCTGCAGTAATGTGTGTTGGTGGCATAACCGGAAATTAGGCTTTTACTTGAATGTGCACTAATTGGGAATCGATCCAGACAGCAGAATTTTGTAAAAGATTCTGTTCTGCATGCGTACATAGACCTACAATGATGCAATATAAGGACACGTGTGAATAGCTATAGAATTAATCTACCAAGGATTCAGATTAATATTGTAATTTTACTCTGTTATTATATATATATATATATATAGAGAGAGAGAGAGAGAGAGAGACTTGGACAAGTTTCTCTTTTTTTAGAGAAATAAAATGAGGAATTGGACATTAAAGCAAAGAACACATGAATGGAGGTTTTGAGGAGTCTTTGTGGCCATCCTTTATCACCGTTCTCGTGAATGTTTTGCCTTCTTTGATAGTAAGAATGGGGCACTTCATTTAAATATGAATCAACTCATTCAAACTGGGAACTGAAAGGAGTAAAAGAGGAATGTGAACTGTTTCTTTTCCTGTGTCTTTAGCAAGCGTGTGTCACATGATTTGTGCCGCTTTACTATCTATCAAAAGTGCAATGTGAACTTTTTTTTTTCGATTTGCGTAACAGTGTGACTCAGAAATTGCTTTATGAATAGTTCAAGAATGCTACATTTAGCTTTATTTAGTGTACAGTGTCTTTTTATTTAAAGTAAACAAAGGTTTGTGTCTCTGAAAAATAGATAATCAGAAATAAAATGCTATCAGGATCATGAAACACAGAAGTGTTGCAATTCCATTTGCTGCCACTAGTGGCACAGAAATGACACACTTTGCATTTAGACGATCTAGTCAGCGGGTGTAAATAATGGTTCATTTAAATGTGGGGTAAGTGATTTCTGGTAGCCAATGTTGATATTACAAATCACCAAAACAAACACGCCCCTACCCCAAAAGGGTCACGCCCCTATTTTGATAGCTCCGCCCCACAAGTACGCAACCCAGGCAACGATTATGGCGGAATCTGCTGTATTAAACATATTATCTTACTTTTCGGACACACTTTGGAAATGATTTTCAACGGTCGCTTTGTCGCGTCCAGCTGTTGAGGCGCTAGACACGGTGTTACTCACCTATCGAGAAGAAACAAAGCAACCTCGGCATCCGATCGCAGGCCTTCCCGCTCCTCGAGTTCTCTCCAGCGCTGGAAAGATGATCTGAAATTGAAACGGGTCCTACTTCTTGCCTTATCGTAAGCCTTCTTTTGTTCCGCAGACGTTTTCCTCTTTTGTTTTTTATCCGCCATATCTATCTTTCTGTCGTCGCTCGGCTCGGCTAATGTCCGTCCTGTGCACTGAGCGCTCACTCCTCCACATCATGAGTAGACACGCCCCTTATTCACTCCTCCACATCATGAGTAGACACGCCCCTTACTGCTGATTGGCTACAAGTTTGTTTTGGTACTCAGCCCGACTTAGTTTTCTAAAGTGTTTTTGAAAAAATACATACCCCACATTTAAGCCATTTCTGTTAATATGTTTAAGTAGATTATATTTTTAAAAAATTTAAGGCTATTTTAGTAATTTATAAACTGTAATAATTTATCATTTGTAATTTATAAATTATAACTTCTTTCCACTTCGCATGCATTTCTTTACTAAGGATTCATAATTTTAAACCCCAAGTCTATATGACGTCCTCCACATCCCATCGTATGTTCTCACATCTTTACACAATAAACACACTCCACTGCTGGTCAAGTGACGCTTTCCTGCCTTACATTTTCAAAGCGGCATCTTGCATTTTATTAGCGACAACAATTATAAATATAATTCTAATATTCTCATGTGAAATTACATCTTGGCAAGTCACATGGGAAAATGTCTGTAAATCCAGTCATGTTTATATATTGACCATCTGACTTGTGTCTTAACATTCAGTGTTATCCAACACCAGAGAATATAGAGTAAAATCTATCAGTGAGTGCTTTCACTCGGCGGTATGATTAATGAAGTTGCCCAGTGGCTCCTGAGAGTCTGGAAAACACAGTTAGTTCGCTCCCTGTCTGCATGAATCCTGCATTGAATGTTATTGTTGTTGAATGTTATTGAATGTTTTAACTCTTAATTGGGTTTGAAGGAGTGATATTTTCTCTCTAATTTGGTTTTTACTTACTATGTTTGGATTGTATAAATGTGTTTTGAGTGCACACACTGAATGGATGTGCAGTTTGCAACATTTAGGGATCCATTTGTTTAGTTCTGTTGGAAAGAAAAATCACTGTTGAGATGTTTTTTAATGTCAGTGTTCAATGAGATTAAGCAAATTTGCTTAAGTCACCTGATTTTCTCCAGAGCAAGACTCCAATCATTTCTCCTATGAAGAATCTGAATAATGCCTTAAATTCAGATTCAAATGTCAGATATTTCAATGTGAGCTTCATTTGTGTCTATTTTAATTACTCACAACTGAAATTTTAGGAGAAACATACTGAGACAAATATGATACTCCATAAGAACTCAGGCTGTGAATAAGCATCCATTTGGCAATAATATTTTCTTTTAGATTATGCTAAATAAATATGTTTTGGCCCTTTTTGGAAAGGATAGGTAATGATGGAGAAGGATCACAATATAAATTTATTGATTTAGATATAATATAATATATACTGGATAATGTACATTTTATTTTGTGATCATGACTGGCTGACTGTGCATTTTCTCGCTTATCATGCATTCTGACCAAATAAATAAATATGTGAAGATGAAATATTGATTCAAGTATAAATTAATAATTATTTATTAATTTTATTAGCATTTTTCATGTATGTTATTTTTAAAGAAAATAGTTGATTACAATGTACAAAAGAATTAACCCACTGCAACAATATTACAGCAGTGTTATTTTCATTTTATTTATATACTATTGTAGCATTTATTAATATTATGAATTTTTCATAACTATAGCTTTTCATAATAGAAGTCATAATTATAGCTTTTATTGTAATATTTTAGCTGTCATTGTAAGTTTGAATTTTATGTGAATTTTTTTTTTCCATTTCTATTTTTTTTTTTTGTATATTTAGCAATTTTGGTAATTTTATTGCTTTTAAACTTAAAAAATATAAATTTTTTTTTTTTTTTACTTTTTTATTGCTTTTAAACTTAGTTAAGGCTATATTTCTAACTTTAAAGTTTTTCATCTAATTTATATATATATATAAAATTGTAGTTTTAGTTATATAACAATGTACAGTTATATTAATACTTGGAGTATTATTATTACTGTACAATGGTATGTAACTAAAAGTATTATGTCTTCTAGGGTCATATTCACTGCAGTTGCTAACCGAGATGCTAGATGGCACTAAATGAAAAAAAAAAAAAAACTTGAATATCATCATTGTACATGGCAGTGATATTTTACTATCATTTAGGTACTAATATAGTTTTTATTAATATTTTTAATTTTTTTTAAATATGTTCTGTTTTCATTTTAGTTGAAGTTTTAGTAATTTTTAGTTTTTAGCGATTTTTATTTCGGTTTTAGTTTATTTTAATCAAGTTAAACTAAATGAAAATGAGAAACTGAAATTAAATGAAAAGTTTATTTTATTTTATTTTAGTTAACATTCATTTTATATCAAGTAATGATTTTTTGAATGTTTCTAGTTTTTAGTTAACTATAATAATCCTGGTGCGCGGACAAGAACCATAAATAATGCTAATAAGTAAAATAATACAAGATTATCTATGAATCTGTTTATGTACGACCACACTGACGCATAAACGTTTCTGTTTTTCAGAATGTGAGGCAATATTTGTTAAGATGGCATCTCTTAACCATTCCACCTCCATTCTGCCTTCCTGCACCTACAAGGAGGACTTCAAGCGCATCCTCCTCCCGTCCGTCTACAGCCTGGTCTTCATTTTTGGACTGCCGCTCAACTTCATCATCATTCTGCGGATCTGGGGCTCCCGGCGCGCTCTGACGCGGACCAAAATCTACATGCTGAATCTAGCGGTGGCGGACTTCCTGTACGTCTGTTCCCTTCCGCTTCTCATATACAACTACGCCAGCAAGGACTACTGGCCGTTCGGAGACTTCACCTGCCGCTTGGTTCGCTTCCAGTTCTACAGCAACCTGCACGGAAGCATCTTCTTCCTCACCTGCATCAGCTTCCAGCGCTACATGGGCATCTGCCATCCGCTGACGGTGTGGCCCAGACAAGGCGGACGCAGGCTGGCGTGGTTGGTCTGCACTGGCGTCTGGGTGGCCGTCGCCGTTCTCTGCGCTCCAACGTTCGAGTTCGCCGCCACCGGCATCCAGCGCAACCGCACGGTGTGCTACGACCTGAGCGTTCCAGAGCGCTCCACAGCGTACTTCCCGTACGGCATCACTTTGACCTGTCTGGGCTTCGTCGTGCCCTTTCTAGTGATCGTGGTGCTGTACTGCAAAATGGCACGGGTTCTCTGGCAAGCCGGCGAAGCTCGAGAAGCCGCGGCTGTAGAGAGGAAGAATAAAGCCTTGAGGATGATCATCATTGTGATGCTGGTGTTCGCCATCAGCTTCTTGCCGTTCCACGTGACAAAGACGCTCTACCTGCTGGTAAGGACCTTTCCCACGGCCCCCTGCGAACTGAGGAACCTGCTGTCTGTGGTCTACAAATGCACCAGACCCTTCGCCAGCATGAACAGCGTTCTGGACCCCATTCTGTTCTACTTCACCCAGCCGCAGTACAGACGCAGCACCAGGAGTCTGCTGCTCAAGATCACCTCGCTCAGAGACAAGGTTGACAAAATCTGATTGGAGCACACCTGCTTGGGTCAAAAATAACTGTGTGTTAAAGCAAGACACTACAGTACAATCATAGCCATGTTTTTTTTCCTCCACTAGACATATTTGAGTTTTTTTTAGGCTAAGGTTTACAAATTAGTATCTTTTGAAAGGGTACCACTGTAGTGACAGTTTTGTAAATTAATTTGTGAGAGTGTAGAGGAAAAATACATCCAAAATAGACATTTAAAGGTGCAGAAGAAAAAAGACATGCCCCTAACCAAAATAATCACACCCCTGTTTTGATAGCTCCGCCCCCAATTCTTTAACATACTTTGCAACACAGGCACCTCCCCCATCATTAGTGGACACGCCCCTTGCTGCTGATTGGCTACAAGTGTGTTCTGGTGTTCTGTCCGATCCTCTTTCAACAGCCTTTCTCAGAAATGGCTTACTGCACCTTTAAGTGTTTATTTTGACACGATCTGTGTCTATAGATTTCAGTTCCAGTACATATCTCTAAAAGCTCTTTTCTCAAAACTATTTTTGTTTTTTTTAATACACTAATCCAAAAATCTCCACTTCAGCAGCACTTACATCACACCAACGGTTTTTCGAAGAGTTTGTTCAAGGGTTATTATAGTTAACTACAACTGAAACCATTAAAAAAAAACAAGAACATTTTTGATACTTGAAATAAAATAAATGCTTACTGAAATAAAGAATAAAATAAAAAAATACAAAAAACATTTTATTTAAGCTGATTGTCAAGGCAACACTTCTCGTTTTTGTTTAATTAGTGTGAAGTATTAAAATAACTAAAACTAAATAATATATAAAAAATGAATAAAAACTATATGAACATTTTTAAAATACTAATAAAACATAAACAACAAAATTGCTAAAAATGTAACTACAATTAAAGTGAAAACAAAAAATATAAAAATCAAATTTAGAATACTTACAAACACTATAAAAGTATATCAATGATACTGAAATAACACTGGTTTGTTAATATAACATTCATCTAATTTATATGAGATTTTATTTTCTGAAAACATGATGAAAATATTTTTTTCCTGGCTGTTGACAGTATTTTGTGATTGGTGGAGGGATAAAAAGAAATATCCCAAAATACCCTCTCTAAAAAAAATATGCCAACAAAATGATACAAGAATTTTGAGCCTGGCTTTATCCAATATTCAAATTTCTGTTCTGGAAATGTACGGAATTTAGTGCATTTTAAATTAGATAATGCCTTGTAATACAAAATGTAAAGTCTTGATGTATACTGTGATTAGTTAACTAGGAAAGTATGGTGATATCTGTTAGTTAAACATTTACCCTGTAGTGTCTTACGTTAAGATACACTTAACTGGCTATGTGCATGTTGAAACCAAAAAAAGTCAATTTTTAAATACAAAACGTCCAATGCATTAAGTACCTGTACTGTGAAAATTGCACATAATGTTTGAAGGAAGTCATTCTTGTAGATTGATTCAGTGTTACAAAAATTAATGTATGATGATTGGAACTATCATACATCACCCTATGGACATTTACTTTTGCTTTGAGAGAAGCATCTGAGGGTTCGAGCCCTGTGAATGGCAGCTGAACGAGTGCACTAGTTTGGCTGAGTGTCATGATCAGCTGATCTCTCCTTACCGGGAAAAAGGTGGTGTACTTATGAACATTTTATGAGGGCAATAGGATGTAAATGACTGTTGATATAAGAATTACAGAGCTGAGAAAGCAGAAATGTCTTGCTAGTTTCATATTTTTGACCCAAGTGGATTTTGGGTGCAAATAAAAAAAATTGTTCACTTTTGACAATTAAGTTGCACAGGTTTTGCAGGTATAAAAATGTGTTTGTTGAAAAACGCAAGGAAAAGAAATCACCCATTCATTATTTTTAATTATTTTATTGATAAATGAAAAAAGAAAAAAAAACAGTAAAATCTTACTTCGTTTTTAAACAAAAACTATACAACTAGATTAAGAGATATATATAGTGTGGGGTCAGTAAGATATTTTTCAAGAAATCAATACTTTTGTTTAGCATGGATGCTTTAAATTCATCAAAATTGACAGTAAAGGCATTTGTAATTTTATCAAATATATTTCAAATACATGCTGTTGTTTCGATTCATCAAAGAATCCTGAAAAAATTTGTTATCACAGTTCCCACAAATATATGGAAGCAACACGACATTTTCAACATTGATAATAATCAGAAATGTTTCTTGAGAAATGTTTTAAAATTCAGCCTTGCATCACAGGAATAAATTACATTTGAAAATATATTCAAGTAGAAAACAGTTTTTTGAAATTGTAATATTTTTTCACAATATTACTGTTTTTGCTATTTTGAGCGAATTAATGCAGCCTTGGTGAGCGGAAGAGACTTCTTTAAAAAAAAAAAAAAACCGCTTAGCAACCCCAAACGTTTGAACGGTACTGTATATGCGTGATATTTAGGATAAATAGGTGCACTGAGACAGTGATGTGTGGAATTATGGATGAGAGATAGAGATGAATGAAAGCATTTGGAATGGAAAGAATAACACCATCTGTTTAACATACAGCATCTGCTGCACATTATCTGAAGGTCATTATCAGATGTTTGATGGTTTAATAACACTTTGTACAGCTCAACATGCTTATGATGTAACATCTTGTCCTACTAGAGAAGGATCTTGTGTTAACGACACAGAGCTCACGTACAAAGACATATTTGTACTGCCTGTACTCTCATTGTGTTTTCATGAAGAAGTTTAGATATCACATGGGTTATAAGCTTTTATTTGAAGCTACCACATGACCAAAAACTACAAATAGAAATGGATGGAAGGCTGGGTTTACAGTATGGTAAAACAAATTATGTTGCATTGTTGTGAGTGTGAATGTATTTTAGTCATTTGGCCAGTATTATCTTTGTGAGTTTTTAAATATGAATGAATTTCACCTCATTATATCTGATTGGAGAAGAGCCTTTTTCTTCAATCTGCATGAACATGAAGCACTCTAAGTTTGGAGTGAAATATAGCATACTATATACTGCACTGTAAATACTGTATACTACACCTTGTTTTTAATTTAAATTGTTTGTGAAACTGCATGCATTATGCAGTGATAAACATGTCAAACGGATACATTGTTGTTATGCAACCTTTCCATGTTGCATTATTAGTTCAGCAAGTGGCATTCAGTTATCATTAAATAAAATCTTTTTTTTTAAATGCTATTTTGCATTTTGAAATCCAGTTTTGTGCCTGTCTAATTAAATAATGGCTGTATTTTGGCAAATATAGTAGATCATTTAGGTATTCCATACATACAAACAATCTTTATACAGTATAGTTAATGTAACAAGCATTACTGTGGTTGACTCTGTGAACTGCCAATAGGTGGCGTACTTGACCAACAAGTTTTGTTGTTAAAGCAGACGTGATTTTTGCACAGTAAACTGACCATTTGCTTCCTGCTTCAGCGCTAATGGTTAAACATTATTTAAGCATTTACATAAAGAGAGTTTCAAATAATTAAACATTAATTATTAAAAATTCATCATTGTGCCCATATAATGATGAAAACAGCTTTTGTGTTATACTACAATATACTAGCAAAGTCATAAGTGTGCATACAAGATCTTTTTTCAAGTAAGCATACTAGTTATTGAATGCTTGTCGGTCACTGTGCAAAGAACATTTTTGTCAGTGAATGTTTGCTTTTGTTATAGCCTACATATCAAACTCTGTTTGTGTAAATAGGCTAATCTGCAGAATATGTTGTTTTATAAGTATAATATTAAATGAAGCTATACAAATCTATATCCTCAATGAGGTCTTTGTGAATGTTTTTTTGTTTTGTTTTGCTTTTAAATGTGAAATGTTGATTTGTCTAGTTGAATTGTGTCCGCTATATTTTATCCTGGTTTGTTGTTGGTCCAATAAAAACGAATCAATAAACTTCATTTCCTGCAATTTCTTATATTACTGTAGCTAACATTCAGGTTCAAGAAAGACCTACAGTGGACTCAAAAGGTACATTTGAACGTATATAAATGTCATTGCATTACATAAAAAATACCAATCCACACATCTGAATTAAAATCATGCCAGCTATTTTATCGGAACTAACTAAAAATGTCTTTAAAATATATATATTATTGAAAAGTGTGCTTTCAAATAATAATGACACTTGGTTTGATATTTTATTTATTATTTGATGAAATTACATTCATACAGTCAACTTTAGATAAGAGTAAATAAGAACATGGCCACTAGAGAGCACTCTAGACATGCAACTAAAAGGCAAGAAGAAAAGAGAGAGAGAGAGAGAGAGAGAGAGAGAGAGAAAGAAGCCTTCGAAACAAAGGACTGCAAAAGTTTTTACTGCAAAGCCAGTTCATGGAGACCATGCAGACAAGCAGAGCTTTTGCTTAAAGAGGCAATAGATTTATGTCTGAGCTTCCCCAAAGCTCAGCAAAGAAAATTATGATGATAATTTGTTCAAAAGTTTCCTACTGTGTGTTTACAAACTGACTCAAACCGTCAGCATTATCTGCTCTCTCACATCAGAAAGAGGAAAAGCTGGATCCCCCCTCGTATTCCCCAGGGGTCTCTCTCTCTAACCCCGACCCCATGTTTTAGTCCCGCCCTCAATCCAAGCAACTATCTGCATGTAAAAAGCCACAAGTCACGGAAACCCTTAATTGTGCCAAAATAAGGCTGAGCGCACTTATTCCAGCTGGAAATAAAGGATGCTTTTGAAGAAAGACAGTCGGCCAAGGAAATGGGATTTACTTTGGAAAATGTACATTATTCAAACGTTGCTCTAGTGTGTGTTGGGCTGAAACACTTGGGAGTTTTCTGCTCAAACTTTGAGCTCTTTCTAAATGCATGGATGGACACTAAGGGAAGCAAACATGCGCAAAGTTCTGGGGATATAACTCTGTTTTCGTAAACAAGCTCAGCTGTTGTTCCTGAATTTTTTGTCCTCCTCTTCGGAAAACACTGCCAAGCAACTTTTGTGGTTAAATGGGGGCATTGTAAGTTGTTTTCAGGGGGTAAAGGCAACCACGGAACACGAAGGAGAAGAAAAGTGCGGACTATTCATCAATGAACTGAGAGAATAGTAAGAAAGACAAGTGGGAGGACAGGCATCGCAATGGCTGAAAGGGCGATTGAAAGAAAAGCGCCTGTTCACAGAAGCGTCTCTTTCAAAAAGTTAGAGAGCTGGAGCGCAAAGCGCAGATCATTTGGAGAGGATTTGGATAGGTGCGGTGCCCTTCCCCCAGACGCCGTAGAGCACAGCGCGCAGCCATCACAAGCGACGCACGCTGTTACTGAATCCAGAAAAGTTTCCAAAATCTCAGCGGCCAGCCTCTCGACCGCAGACCGCAAGAAAGCCTCGCATGGAGTATCTCCATCGGTTCGTCATCTCTCTGAGAAGTTCAGTTTGAGCACAGACGGGACACAGAGCTCATTAGTCAACACTGGAAGCGTTAAAAACACAAAAAGTGTCGAAGATTCGTCTTTGAGCGAGAGTGGCTGCTTATCCAAGGAGTTTTCTGAGTCTGCGACGGAGAAACAACTT